TGGTGATTATAATGCTAGCCATATGACAGTTCACTTGCTTTGGGGTTAAAGAGGCTTTCGGTTAACGCCTTAAGAAGGTACCATTTACTGCATTTCTCCATAAATCATTACATCCTAATAAGTTTTGGGATACAATGCCTCACACTGTGTCTTTCACAGAGTTGGCATTCAATAACTATTTTCTAAATGGATAAACATTGCTCTACCTGTCTTATTCTCCTTCCAATTTTCAGAAGCCTTTTACTATCAACTACTATCTCTCAAGTGTATCCCCATAAATAATTAAATGTACTCTAGTGTCTCGTATCTTAAAAACAAACATATCAAAAAAAAAAAAAACCCCGCAGAACCTTCTCTTAGTCCCACATAACAACCTAGCCAAGTTCCTTACACGTTTCTTCAAAGACTTGCCTTCACTCACTGTCTCCATTTCTTTACCTCCGACCCTTTTTCAATTTTGTGTCCTTCCCATTAAGCCACTAAGCAAGCTCTCACAAAGTTTGCCAACAATCTACATACAGAACCATTATTAAGAGTATGTATTCTACTATCAGACGGCCTGAGTTAAATTCCAGCTTCTCAATTCACTGAGTATGTGACTTTCCTAGGCTAGTCACCTAATCTTTCTGAGCTGCAGTTACCTGTTGGTAAAAGCAGGTGATAAATATATCTCCCTACAGGGTTCTATGGATGAATCAATGAAATAGAAAACGTGAAACAAACTTATTACAGTGCTTAGCACAGAGTAAGCACTTAATAAAAGTCGGCTGTTATTATTCTTGTTACATTATTATTGTTAGTCTTTGTTATCCTTGGTCCTAAGCCCTGATCTTCCCCTGTCACACTATATTCTCTCCCTAAGCAATCCTGGCCACAACTGGTTTAAATTAATATCACAACACTGATGACTCCCAGATTTGTATTTCCAGTTGACACAACTCTTCAGAGCTGCAGACCCATATATTCAACTACCTCCTTAACATGTCCCCTTGGACATTATCAAAGGCACCTCTAATTTAACAAGTCTAAGACCGTACTCATAATCCGCCTCCTTGTACTTGTCATCCTCCACTCCCCTTCATACCACCAGCAAAACACCAACTGTGAAAACCACAGAGGAGTCATTTTTGACATGTCCCCAGAAATTCTCTCATATCCTTCCACATCTATCTTCTCTACAAACATAATCCCAACTCAAAAGGTATCATCTCTCACTTGAAAAAGCCTCCTAACTGGTCTACCCCTTCCAAACTATTCTCCAAGCATCTATCCTGAGCCCTTCCAATTCAAAACACTATACTTAAGAGTACACTTTAGTTATACCTGCTACATTGCCTTATATACAGAATTAGACAGACCTGAGATGATTATCAAACCATGAAATGAATCTTTGCAAGTCTTAGATTATTTCCTAGCTGTGTAACCTTTGGCAAATTATTTAGCCTTTCCAAGCCTCAATTTCTTTATCTGCAAAATGGAGGCAACAGTATTTAACCTCCTACGTTTTTGTCAAGAGTCTACGTTTTCGTCAAGAGTAAATTAATAACGGCAATAAAAAGCTCAATTCAGTGCTTCCCACTTACTGAGGACTAAATAAATGTTTGTTTATTATTGGGCCTGCTCCTTTGAACTTGTTTTTTTCTCTGCCTGCAATGCTTACGTCTGCACTAATTATCAAATTACTAGTTATCTTGATTTTACAAAAGAGGAAACTGTAGCTCAAAGAAGTTAAATGACTGGCCAGGATCACCTAGGCTGGTGACTGGGCAAGATGTGAACGCACGCATTCTTTGCACTTTATTAGTACTTCTCAAACTTTTCCAGTTGAGTACTCCTGTTGAGAGAGAAGAGTTTAACTCCCATCCTAGAGGTCAAGAGAGGCACAGACCCAAGCTGCTCCTACTAGCTTGGAGTATCATGCTTTATCTTCAAATAAATCACTGTCAAAAACTTTGAACAAATCAAGTTGAGCACAAGAGCCCCTCAAATAGTGCGTACTTTAAATCAAAACTATAAATCTAAGTTTGTCTGTTCTGCGCCTGCAAATCCACTCCAAAAAACTATCTTCGGCCTTCATTTTTACCATTACCCACAACGATATAATGAGACAGTGTCATACAAATGGCTGCAGTTACTATTACTTTCACACAATGAAATTAAGCATCGCTAATGTGTTTAGGAAGAATGGCTGGCCTGAGGACTCTCCCTAGAGAAAGGCTGAAAACAAAAGGAAATTCAGGCATCCTAGGCCAAACTTGAGTTTTCTTAGGACAACACTCACTTCTCTAGAATAGGGTTTCTCAACCTGGGCCCCAATTGAAAAATTAGGCCAGATAATTCTTTGTTATGGAGGGCTGTCCTGTACGTTGTGGGTTGTTTACCCTCTACCTACTTGAGCCAATAGCATTTCACCACTAGCTGTGACAATCAAAAATCTCCAGGCATTGCCGAATGTCCCCTGGGGACAAAACTGTTCCCAGCTGAGTACCCCAGAATGACCCCTGGTATATCCTTTTACTGAGGAGTGAATGTTAGACAGGAGGGCTCAAGCCTCTGACTCCAGAGAGAAAAGACATGGGAGAAAAGAGACTTCCCTCCATTTGCACAGGCACCAACATAAAAGAAAAGAGTATCTGTGCCTTCTCAACGCTAATTTTCCATAAGGAAGTAAACTGAGTGGGATCTCACTTAACTCCTTACCAAAAAATTTCAGGTGAGGCTTCAAAAACAACTAGACTTTTAAAACTGTACTTCTGGGTACTGGGGGAGGGAAGGGAAGAACGAAAAGACTCTGGGACTGTCTCTCTACTTAGATGGCTACAACGTTAGGCCTCTAGTCTGACAACATAGAGACAAAAGGAGATAGCTCAACATGATACCGTTCTACTGTGACATTGTATAAATGAACATAACCTCCTCTATTCCACCAATCACCATCCAACTGAACACCAGAGATGTACATGCAAACACTCAAACAGTCACAAGAAACAAAAAGTTATTTTATATAAAGGCAGAGACTTCAACATCTGCAATTCTGAAAGCTTAGCTTTTGTGTTTAATAAAACGCAGCTCATTACCCTTGGCAGCTATTCCCTTAGAGTTTGCTAATAAGCGAGACAACAAATGCAGAGTTCTGTGGAAGTTACCCAAGGCTAAAGGTTTGGTGGGGAGGAGTTTGCATGTGAACACACAGGCATACATAGATACGTTTGCAATATAAGAATATTTTTGTCTTTACCTTTTTTAAAAAAAACTTCAATTCCCCTTGCTATATTAGACTATTATTGCTTTTAAGCTTCTACAATTTTATGTTTCCCCTAGGAAATCATACTCTAAGTTTTGTTTTAAATAGTCTCCTAAAGATCTAGCTCAAATGAAGAGTGAGACAGTTGATATAAACTGTAGAGTGAAGTCTCACGAGCCTCAGATTTCCCATCTGTAAAGCGGGCATAAATAAAATTTACTTCTTAAAGTTGCTGTGAGGATCAAATGAAGTCCTGTGTGGCCAGCATCTGGACATCCATAATACACTCAGTAAATAGTTACTTTTATTACTGTTATCACTATTATACATCAACTTCTATGAAACTCCCATTTCTTCCACAAACTCTTAGGGAAAAACGTGTGTTTTAGAAAAGAGAGAAAGATATTTTACAAGCACATCTTACATCTAGATGCAAATATAAGGTATTGTTTGTGATGATAAAACAGGGTAGGGCAAAAGAAAAAGTGGAAATATTCTGTGTTTTGTTTGAGAATTCTTGTGTCAATTACATCTGGTATCCAGCAGCTTATGATATGAAAGCCAATGTTCCTTCCTGCTGCAAAAAATTTTTTAAAAAGGAAAGGAAAAAAAGACAGAAAGAAACAAAGAGGAAGAAAGAAAACCGAAACAACAATATGATAGACTAGAGGGAAGGTCACACAAGATCCGTAATTCTACAATGACAATACTCTCCTAACTCTTCCAAGAACAACAGTAAAAGGTCAAATACCTTCCAAAGAGGCCAGGGTTTAGATTTCACTGCTTATCTAATTAGTAAAATTCCACTGGAAACAATTTTTCTTCCCAGGATCCAAAATCTACTGTTAGGTGTGTTAAGACATACATTTATAAAGCATTGTTACACTATGTTGAGCTCTTCCTCTGGAACTGTAATCCATTTTTAAAAGCTTTATTCATTCAACAGTAGCTCCACTGAACTGATGAATTCAAAAGTATTAATAACAAATCCAAGATGTCTAGATTTCCCTAAGAAAATGTCAATTCCTTCCCCATAAACCTAACCAAAGAAAAGACAAATGTTCTTCAATCCTTATTTTCGGGAGTAAATATGGGATAGACGACCGAAATGAAGTTGCTGGGAAATATACTTCCAAACACTTCCTAGAAGGGCCCTCAAAATATATGCCATTAATAGGATACCGATAACACCACAGTTAAAGTAGTTCATAAGCAACCCCCCCACAAATGCCCTGCATAATTACAGCTCTACAGCAAGACTTCTCCAGTTCTTAGCCTTCAGTTGGCTCCCAGCAGGTCAGCCATAATCGTGTATTCTACAGTCACGACCCTCCCGGTAATTAAATCAAAGAAAGCTAGAGGGCCTTGGGGGTTCTAGTCCAACCCCTTCATTTTACAGGAGGGCCTGAGGCAGGGAGGCAAGCTCACTTGCTCAGCCTTTTGATCAAAGCACACCCCCGAGCTCCCGATCCCAGGCACGAAGTGCGCGCACACCCGGGGAGGGGCCAGAGGGCAAGGGCCCTGAGTCAGACTGCACGCAACCTCAACCCGCTCTTCCAAGAACTCTTTGTATGACCTCGAGCACCCCAACTTCTGCGTCTCGATCTCCAGGTCTGTAAAAGCGGAACCAGAGCCCCACAACCTGGGGCTGCTGGGGGGAGTCGGGCGCTGGGCCGCGTCCCACGGCTCCCAGGCTCCAGCTCCGAGGGGGCGCTGCCGCCCGTCCGCTGCCCCGGCCCGGCGCTCGGGCACCCACCTGCACCGCAGGGAAGGCGGTCTTGAGCAGGTAGAACATCTTGCGGTTGGACAGCACGTCCCCGCTGGTCATCTTGTCCTCGGCTCCCTCGCGCGTCTTCCCCTTGGACTTCTCGTGGAGGACGTTGCTCTCGCGGACGCGCCTCACCTCCGCGCCGCCGCGGACGGCCGCCAGCACCGACACGGCCAGCATCTCGCGCAGGTCCACGGTGCCCCCGTCGGCCGCGCTCGCGGGCCCCGCCGGGCCGCCGCCCGGCTCGCCGCCCAGGCTGAAGAGGCTGAAGCGGCCGGCCAGGAAGCCCGAGTAGAGGTGGTAGAGCACGCCGAGCCCCAGCAAGCAGAACACGGCCACCCCCAGCGGGGATAGGCGGATGCCCATGGGGGCCATGGCGCCGGAGGCCGGGCGCTCG